ATGATTTATTCTAATTTTAATTATTTTTTTAGGCAAGTAAAATAATAATTACCAAAATTTAGAAACCCTAATATCCTAACCATTTTCGAAAACTTGGGGAGGAAGGCTAGGGTTTCCAATCCCTAACCCTAAATTTAAAAAATTACCCTCCATTATCTTGTTACCTAAACCGTCGGATATTCCCATCTTGCAAGTCGCAACATCTTGAAATCAATGATCTTACAATCTGTTTTTTTATATAATTTATGCTATACATGATTACACAGGTTGGTTTAGGGGTGTGTGTGTGTGGCGATTTGGTTCGGTTATTGGTTAAAACCGAACCATAACCATTATGATTGGTTAATGCATTTTGGTAGCCATTGGGTATGGTTAATATTGGTTATAGTTAATGGTTTTTATCGGTTAACGGTTTTGGTTAATGGTTAATATTGGTTAACCATAATGTTCAAAATAATATAGATGACGAAAGTATATTGGCATAAAAAATAAAAATAGAATACCAAAAAGTCTTCGACGCCAATGTTTGTAACCTAGCTTATAGTAATAGAATAAAACGTGTACCTTTAATACTTAGAGTGAGATAACACATAGTCACGTTCAAAATATAAAACATTCAATAAAAATATAAAACATTAAAAAAATTTGACATTAATAATTTCATATATTGATAATTGATATTAATATCAAAATAAAGTCAAACATTCATACACGCCCAATGCAGTTAAATCAAAAATTATAAAATAAAAGAGCCAAACATTCATATTATGTGTTATCCGGATAAAAAAAAAGTCAATCACTCATATACATTCAATGTGATTAAGTCAAAAATAATAAATAAAAAAAGCCAAACAAATTCAAAAAAATACATTCGTAATATATCAGAGAGTCAAGAAGAACAAAAAACTTAACTCACCTAAAAGTCTTGATTATAAAGTCAAAAAATCCTTCGAATAGGACTATAAAGTCAAAACAACCGTTGATTAGGATTAACGGTGTGAGAAACCTTCGATTAGGATTATGAATGTGAAGATTAAACTAATTGTGAATAATGTTTACAAATAGTAGAATTAGCCGATTAGGATTACAACATTAATCAATAATCTAACTCAATGCATGATTGGGAGATTGTGTGTCTCTGCATGATCAACCTTTGATGGTTTGATTGCTCGTTCGTCTCCTGATAAGTGAGGATTAATGGATTATATTTTGAAATTTTAATTGGTCTTAAATACGTTTGGCTATATTATTATATATAATCTATAATTTTTATATATTAAAATATAAAGTTAGCGGTTCGGTTAATAATTGTTCGGTTAACCTATAAAACCATAACCGAACCGTTAGTTATCGGTTAACAAAAATTAGAAACCGAACCAACGGTTTTTAAAATGGTTCGGTTATATCAGTTAATTTGGTTTTGGTTTGGTTTTTCGGTTATTATGCTCACCCCTAGGTTGGTTTACTTACACCCCGCTCCCGAGTTGAAACAAAGAAAAGAAGAGAAGTGAAAAGAAAGTAAGGAGAGAAAAGAAGAGAAAAGAAAGGAAAACAAATTTGTCTTTTGTGCTCTCGAGTTGGAGAGAAATGGAAGGAAAGTTAAACATTTTATTCTTTCTTTTCAAATCCTCCCAAATCGGAATGAAAGTTAGGAGGGAAAGTGATCCTTCCATTTCCTTCCACTTTCTTCCTTTAATGAAACTCGGGAACATCAATCTCTCTTACTTTCCTCTCATTTCCACTCATTTCCTTTCTTTTCTCCCCTTAAGTTGAACTCGGGAGCGAGGTGTTAGAGTAAAAAACACTATAAGTATGTCTAGTAGTAGGATGAAATAAAAATATAAATGGAAACGAGTAAGATTGTTGCCTAATAAGTAATGACTAGTTGTGTTCAAGGTTGTAAAAATCGTTCGACGGTAGCTCTACGGTCGACTGGTGTTAAGGGATTAATCGGTCTTGGCGGGGATTAATCGGTGATTAATCGGAGACCATAGATTATTAATAAAGTATTAAAATTAATCAAATATTAATATATCTTAAGAAAAACAAGTACTTAAAATTAGAAAATAAGAAATTTTGTAATTTGAAAATTTGAAAATACGAAAATATGAAAATTTTGATATAATATTTTAAAATTTAAAATTTTGGAGTACAAAAATAAATTTGATCTTTTGAATTTTTTTAATAATTTTTTTTAATTTTTTTGACCTTTTTTTTCGACTTTTTTGACTTTTGTTGACCGATTAATCCTGCCAAACCCGATTAATCCTAAATTTCCAATTAATACTCTAATCCTTGACGGTTGGAGAACGCCAAGCGATTAATCCCGATTTCTGCAACCATGGTTGTGGTTTAGCATTCACATAATGTACACGAACATCATGTTTTATAAAATTCGTGAATGTAAATGTAACTAAACAACAAAACACCAATCTACACAAATTAAATAGGTATGCAGCAAAACAAATATTTTCTTGTATTCGACATAAATTACACAATATTCACAAATCATAAATCACTGCAATTCTGTTAAACACACTCACACCTCCACCTCCAACAACCAATGACATATTTGACCCACTGCCTTTTGTTTTTTTTTTTTTTTTTTTGAAGAAGAATTAAGACAGATGAAAGGTTGGAATATAAAATCCTATTATATATATATATATATATATATATATATATATATATATATATATATATATATATATATATATATATATATTCACATTTTAAAGGGAATTGAGAGTTTAAATAAAGAGGGAATTAATGAGATTGATATTGTTATCTAGACTTGAGTTGGGTTTTCAGGAAACGCACATACTCATGTTGCACCATCTCCCCACCATTCACAGGATCAAATATGCACCTGTAGAAACTGTGAATCATCCATCAGATATCATATCATTCACCTAAAATAATTAATAATCCAACAAATAACAATCTACCTACTTGCACTTTCATATATTTATAATTATAGCATCACACTTTCATTTTTTTCTATTACAAGATAGCAATGAAAATTGCTTTGTATTTGGGTCACATTACTATAACTGGGTATATTTTTTCAAAGTAAAATGATGTAATACAAAAAAAAAAAAAAAAAAAAAGGATGCTATCAAACCAATTGTTATTTCTTGCATTTAACCATTTTTAAATAAAGGCAATACCTTCCATCCATGCCTACAATAATGACTGTGTTCTGTGATCCAAATGCTGACATGTAATGCGTGCATTCTGGCAAATGAAACCGTGCAAATGACCATTCGGAGCTAAAATACTTCGGCAACACCCCTAAAAATTGCAACCCATTAAAAAAACTTATTCATGCTAAAATGACGAAAATGCCCTTTGTCATTAAAAGTTAAAATCACATACCTTTCATGAAAGATAGAGAAGAACCAGGATTGGCACCAGCAGAAGTTGGTGAAATAAGGGCATCAAGGGAAGATGAAGAATATTGATGTGATAATGCTGCTGCTGCTGTAGATTGAACAGATGATGGATCTTCACCCACAACACGCACTCTAAGACTAAATATATGCACAGTACCCTTGTCACTAGACACAGCCAACCACTGGACATTTGGGGAAAGGGCAATTCCGTAAATATCAGCTCTATCCACTCCTCTACGAACCTCTTGTAACCGAGTGCCATCCATTGCATTAAAAATTCTGACCAAAGTGCCCTTTGTGCTGGCAGTAGCAAGAAGAAGCCCATCCATTGTCATGGTTAAGCATGCGATTCTTGAATCATGAGCATTGATTAACTTTGTCATGTTTAATCCAAAATGTTCAACCCTAACTTGTCCTCTTCTTAGACCTGGGCAAGCTAATACAGATGTGTTGACCTGATGGGATAGGCAACAAAGTCCTCTAGGGTTTGCTAGGGTTTCTATCTGATGAAGAAGCTTCAGATCCATAAAGTTATAAACATAGATCTTGTGTTCAAGAACAACAACAATCCGATCGCGTCTTAATTTTACAGCTCTAACTTCTGACCTAAATGAAAATTCACCAATGCATCGACTCTGATGATCATCCCATATGATGACTTTATTTGGAGGGTATTGTGTATTAGCTTTTCCACCAACAAGTGCTAGAATGTTGCTTCTGAAAAGCATCTCAATGATCCCAAATCCTCCACTTTTCAGATCACGTCTGAAGGTTTCTTTAAAAGGATCACAGTTGTATATACGGAAACCATGGTTTGTTCCTGCAGCAAAACAACCATAATCTTGGTTCCAAGAAACTGATAGTAAATCTATTTCACTTTCATCAATCTCTGGATTTGAATTCCCAGAGGGACTGTTATAGGGAGCATCCATCAGAGGCTCAACTGGTAAGAACTCAGATTCTGGAAATCCTTCTTGCAATGTTGAAACAGCTAAACTCATAGGGGAAGAAGCAATAGTCATGAAAGCAACCTAAAGCAAACATATATAGATAATGTCATTAACATAGTTGATTTCATAATGATAATGATACAACATTTTTTAATGATTCTATGAATTTCGTAGCAATAGCATTAGCTTTCACCTAGGTCCATCTTTAGAGAAGTATTCAATCAAACGCTAATTTAGCCATAGAAGGCATTACTGTTAAACTATAATCATTCATAAATTCCTATCTGTCATCATGTCATGGTCTTTCACGGATAATGATTTGGTCAAAACTGAAAGAGTACACACAGCTCCATGTAAGGCAAAACAATTCCTTAATTCTTCTCTTATCGAATTGAAAATCATATCGAGTCTTTCAGAGAGAATAATTTCATTAAAACGAACAGCTGCAATCATTTCATAGATTACTAGATATCAAATTGATAATCATATAATGATATGAAGACTTCAGCATAAAACCATTTCATGTAACTAAATTAGTAAGCAAACAAAATGGAACCAATCATAAAAGGAAAACTAAAGGAAATCGACAACTTACAAAGTCATTGGAGATTCACTCGATCGCGCAATCCTGTAAATCAATATGCTTTCGCCACAACTACCGATCAATATCCGTTTTCCTGTAAATTATAGATTTCGTAACGTGAAACTCAAGCAAAGCGTTCGAATCTGGATATTACCCACAAAATTAAAAACCCTAGAAAAAAAGAATCAGGCATGATCGTAATCGACTGACCTTAAGAAGTTAATCAAGTTCAAATCATAACCAAATACTTTCCCGGCGGTGAAAGTTGAGCGCGATTGTGTGTTTAATTGCTTAAAGAAAGGAAAACCAAGTGTTATTTGGTGTGCGAGTGAAGAGAGAGATCAGATCAGAGAGATGGAAGAAAGAGTAATGAGTTTTGTTGCTCTTCTCTGTGATGCGAGAAATTCGTGATTGGAGAAGGGAAGACGACTATGAATTATGAAAATCAAACACATGCGTCTGGTCGGTACCAATTTTAGAGGTCAGAGAACGGAGCAAATGCCTGGCATCGTGATTCGTGATCGTGTTTGTTTTTATTTAATTGTAAAAAAATACAACATGGACAAAAACACAATCTCATAAAAAGAAAAGAGAGGATAAATTGTTGGATCCGGAAAGTATAACAATCATGGGTCTTTGTTTTTTTGTCCGCAAATAGGAGTGAGCAAAATCGAAACCGAGAAACCAAAACCTAACCCAAACTATTGGGTTTGGGTTTAAATTTCTAAAAACCGAAAAATAGGTTATCGGTTCAGTTTTAGTACTTAAAACCGACCCATAAGAACCGACCCAGTCCATTGGGTTGAACTCGACTTAAAACTGACCTGTCCTATATAAAATTATACTAATTATACAAGTATTTTATTATAAAGCGTGGGTTATAATCATAAGTCTTAAGTCACCCAGCCGGTTAAGGCGCATATCTCTTAAAAGGTTCGAATCTTGACTTCATTATGAAGCTTTTATTTTGTTTAGAAAGTGTCTATCCTATATATATGCCAAGTTGTTACTTTCACTTCTCTTATTTGTCCCGCATCGATCAAAAATGAAACAAAGCCCCTAATTGAGCTCTTATATAAGCAAAACTAATTTATCAATTCTTTCATTTCTATTACTTGTCCTGCATTGGGCGAAAAATTAAACAAAACCCTATTTGGTTCTTATATAAGTGATGAAGTGTCGAATCAAGTATGAATCAAATCAGAGTAAAATGAATGAAGTTTGAACACAAGATGTAAATATGATCTGGTTTCAGCTCTATTATGCTTTCAAATGTTACAGAGAGAAAATAGACAAGTTCATACCAAGACTCTTATCTAACTCTAAGTAATGTCCCTATTTATAGGAGACATGAAAGCACACAAAAAATTACAAGGACTGAACAACTAAGCTTCGTTACAAATGTGCCTTGTAAAATAAACTTATGACTTCGACATATTACAACTTGGTCTTCGACCCTTACATTCTCCCCCTTTGTAATAATGTCGACCATCTTCAGTTCAAAAGGATCTGTATAGCATACAGCATCACCCTTCGAATTTCAGAGTACCAAGAAATAATCTTCTTCAACTCTTTCTTGTCCCCTTCGTTATTCTTCTTGCAGTTATTCATACGAACAATAAAGTTCGTATACTGGGACGTTGTGTATCTCTCCACTTCGCATGCTTGGAATAAAAATCTCTTGGCCTTCCCATTTTTATCCTTCCCTGCGAAGACCAAACCGAATGGCTTTAAGCAAATTTCCCCATCTACGTACTTCTTTAACTCAGGTTGAGTCTCCGTTAGTTCCATGGGTACTTTAACTTCCAATCCCTTCGCAGTTGCCAACTCCACATCAGTTAAGGCCAAACACTCATAGTAGTTATCTATGAATATTTTGATGTGGGCAAGACCAAGACGAAAAACTTCTGGATCAGTTTCTCGAAGATACGAAGCATCTTTGTCTTTCAGAAGTAATGCCACTTGTATAAGATCATACAGGTTCATCAATGGAAAATCTGCTACAGAGAAATCACATTCCTTCCCATTCGCCCTTGCAACATGAAAACGAAGGTTCTGCATCATGCTCTCGAACAGAACATCCTTGTTAATGCTAATTACCTTCTTTATTTTCACAAGCGACCAAATTTCCTCTGGAAGTTTCCCAAGAACAGCATGAAATCTTAGCTTCATATACGTGTAATCATCTTCATTATCAAATTTCTCAGCAATCTTGTAATGAGCCATGATGAACATCATTTCATTCACCGGGAAATCCAGTTGTTTCATATCAGAATTAACTACAGCATAGCTTTGCTTCGGCTTCTTCTCAAAAGCATACATATGATTATATGCAACTTTTGCTTCGATTGTTTCGTAGTTATAATGCTTAGCAGGATCACCTTTGTTCATTCCAGGTGGATCATTTACACGAAGACTTAAAATGTTTTGAACCACTCTTAATTTCTCCAACTCAGCTTCAGCTTCAGCTTTCTTCTCCTATTTCGACTTTTCGACCAAAATTGTTTTTCCTTTGTCTTTGATCGAAGAGCTATCAACAACTTCTTTGGGCTTCGTTGAACTACTACCACCTTCCCCAATCATAATTCCTGTAGAAATTGGCCTTGGAATTGGCATCGAGGGAATTGGCATTGTGGTAACAACTGTTGAAGTAACTGGCCCAGCAGTTGAGACTATTGGCTTCGTTGATGGAATCTTTATTTGAAAAAAAATTCCAACAGTCTTAACTTCTTCATGTGAACCCTCACCAACTTTCACATTACCAACCTTCTTTTCTCCCCCTTGCACCCATGTGACAACAGGTGGGGCATCTGTTGGTAAAAGACTGGAAAATTTGGACAACGGGGCCACCAGTTTATTCAACACAGCTTCGAATTGAGAGAACTTTTGGGATAAAAATTATGGTGTAATGATTGAAGAAGAAACAGGCTTGACAGATAAATCTTTCAATTCCTGTAACAAAGTACTTAGCTCCCCAAAGTTTCGGCTGTTATCCGTAGAAAGTTGAGTTACTTGAGGACTCAAGCTTTCATACATTTTGACATATTTTGTGACAGCATCACAAATGATATCCACTTTTTGATTTAGAGATGCATAGTCTTGCTAAGCACTAGCAATCTCTTTGAGCATATCGTCACGAAGTTCATGAAGCTTGAAGTTGACATCTTCGCGAACTTGCTTCACATCTTGAACAAATAAGACATGTATTTCTTTAGTCAACCTTTGAAAATCTTGAACTTCACCCTGAAAGTTCGAAGATTGAGCTTTCATGCGTAACTCATTGCACTTATCATTCTGGTTCACCTTCTTCATAATTCGAGACTCAGAATCTTGAATCATTCCAGAAACTTTTCTAACCATCCTTGTTTCAAATGCTTTGAGCATAACATCAAGTTTCAAATTGGATATCGATTGACTTCCCCCCATGTCAGCTTGAGACTGAATAATTGAATTCATCTTCTTGTTCAAAATCTTAAACTGCTTCATCGTCATCAACATATGGTCCGGGAAAGTTTCTTCTTCTTCATCAAACTCCATTTCTTCAAAAGTACCTCCAAATCCCCCTTCGTCAACATCAGTGTTCTCAGTAGATTGCAGTGGATCAGTGGTTTGGGATGAGAACAAAGTAGTGATTGGTTGAGTAAGAATGGTTTCAAAGGTGGGTGAATTGGTAGTGTTTGAAACCGGAACAATAAAAGGAGGTAAGGAAACTAAAGTATCCTTTACCGAAGGTTCAGGAATACCTTGAGTTGTAACACAAACTTCTTTATTGGACGCTCCTTCACCCATGTTGACATTTACAACCGTATCAGATACGTGTGTAAGAATGCCTGAAGTTCGAACCTCCTCAGTAACTGACTCAGTTAACGAAACTTCGGGTGGTATGACCTCAGTCTTCTCAGGAGTAGGTGTGGATTGGAGAATAGTAACTTCTGGAGTTTGAGGAACTTTCTCCCCTTCGGATGATTCCTCTGGAAGGACCAACTTCCTTTTCCTCAACTTCTTCTTTGAAATATGTGTAGCCACATCTTCAGCTCTTCGTTTCTTTGAGGATGGAGAAACAGGAGCTGGAACCTCACAAATGAGAATTCCTTGGTGATTCATATATGGTTTACGAACCATAGTAGATGAAGACATAAAAAAACCATCGGAAAGCTTTCGTGACCCACGAGACTTCTTTCTAATTCTTCGAAAAATACCTGATTTTGAAGGAATGGTTTCCTTGGCTTGGTCATCTGTATCAGGTTCAACCGGCTCAATCAAAACAGTCGAAACTTGTGCTTCTGGCTTCGTCTGTTTCTGCGGTGACTTCATTTTCTTTGGCTCTGGAACTGGTTTCTCAGGAGTAGTTTTTACCTCCTTCTTTGGTTTGCGGGATTTCTTCTAAGGACTAGCTGCTTCTTTCGGCAACAACTTCCCAGACTCATCACCCGGATTGATTGTTTCCAAATACTCCATGAGAACCAAATTTGTTGGGTCAACACGCTGTAACATTGCATCAGGAATCCTTGCAATGTGCGTAAAGATTTCCGCATCATCATGAACCTCCTTCGGAAATTAATACTTTATAAATTCAACAGTCTCTTATCCTGGAGGGACCTCAATTCCTTCTTTTGCATAAAAATAACGAAGGATTAAACTCCAATACCCTGCACACGAAATTCCTTGAACAACATTCGTGTTTTCTACACTCTTCTGAAATTCCTTCCACAGCTGTGTAGAATAATCCACGGTAATATCATAGTATAAGCTAGCAACCATAGCATACACCTCCATTCGACCTTTATCTAAGCCAACACTGCGACCAGTCAAGCAGCGTAGAAAAATTCCGAAGAGAAAATTCCAAACGGTTGGAAGTCCATACTTCTTGAAATCACTGATCTTGGTGAGTGGGGGTTGATGACCCATCTCATTAAACATGTGAATAACTTGTGCAGAAGAAAGATCAGTATAGATTGGAGAATTTGGGATATCAAGAATCTGACAAAAAAAATTCTTGGACAATCGAATCTTCTTGTCATTCACCAGTTGAAAAGTGATGATATTCATAGCTTTGCTGTAAGTCACAGTGGATCCTGCTTGAGAAAGCCATGAAAGTGGAACGGCAAAAGAATTGAACATAGCCGTTGATAGAACAAAACTTTTCAGGGCAACCACCAGCATCTTCAATTCATCTGGATAAAGAGAAACATCCTCTTCGACTTGATAATTGGTGCCTTGAATCTTCATGATTGGTAGTGAAGAAACATCTTCAGTGTTTTGAGATTGAGCATTGAGATCAGCAGATGTGGCCATGATTAGGGTTTGTTGAAGCTATGAAGAACAATCAGAAATTTGCAGAGAGAATTTGGGAATTTTACGACTGAAAGCGTAAACTGTGTAAACCCTTTGATTCCCCTTTTATATGTAACCCTAGAGTTCAAATTTGAAGCGGGATTGGCATTAAAGGAAATCCGACGTGGCACCTTGAATCTCGCACCACTCTGTTGATAAAGTTGCCATGTGTCAAAAAGTAACTGTCACATCACCTTGAAACCCGGATTGAAGACAAAACATCCTTTCAACCAGACTGTTCGTGTGTCTTAATAGAATTGTAACCGTCAGTACCCTTCGGATGGAGGTAAGGCTCATTCACTTTTGGGATGAAAAGCGAAGTCATGTGCCAGATGTTCGAAATCATCAGTCTGAGTTGGTATTACTCAGAACCTCAAGGATTTCGTGAGTGCAGTGTACCAAAGATAAGATAAGAAGCGAGGTAATGAAAATTTGGATTTGTGATGTCAAAAAAAATTTCGACACAAAAGCAATTAACCCCAGGCAAAGGTTACTTCGTTAATTATCAAGAGAGATAATCAACTGTTTGTGTATGTTCCCGTGAAGTACAATCGAATACTTATAGAGAAGTATCGAATGGCTTCTTTTATACGGCTTCGTGGGTTGTTTACAATTTCGTTACATATCAACCTAAACATAAGGTGAGTAAGTGTAACCGAAATTACTTGTTTGACCAGTGTAGTCAGTGACAAGTATGCTTTGAATTATTTTGAAAGTGGCTTAGAAAGCAAGTGAAACTCACACGGAAATTATATTCATAATAAAATATTTATGTTGGATCTTGTTGGGTAACAAACATCGTGGGCTTCGATAGTTTGATCAAGACCACTCATGAGAAATGAATATGATTTGGAGTTTCGAAAGTCCGGTACAGAAACAAGTGTTTCGTTAAAACTGGAACTTTGTTCCCCGTCAATTCCTTATAAAGTTAGAATTTTGGGCTTTACTTTCATCACGGCCTCATGATGTCAGATCATTAACACAGAGTTGTGATATGTCTAAATCTTGACGGGTTGAATCAAATATCTCTTGGACATATGTCTTCATGTGTGAAAGTGTAAGAAATTTGGAGATGAAAAAGATTGGTTCACGAAAGCAAGTGTACCTCTGTTATATTTGGACCAAACAGAAAACTCTTAACTCGGTTGAGAAGAGTAAGGTAGCTCATTCGACTAATGTGAATATAAGCCTGACTTGGGAAGAAATTTTCATATGAAAAATTTCATTAAGGCTTTCGTACACACACATTGAGTCTATGGAGGCTTCGGTCAACATGCTTCAGCATGCTTCTAGGGACAGTCTAACTAGTACAAAGTTGTCGAAATTGTACCTTCCCATAGAAACATAAGCATGACCTTTGGAAAATACTTCGTGAAATTTGCATCAAGAAAAGACAAAGAACAAAATAACAAAAATCTTTTTGATATTTTTGAATTTTTTGAAAAGAAAGAAAATGTTTTTGTGTTTTTGTAAGTTTTTCGAAAAAGAAAACAATTAACAAAAGAAAATCTTTTTGGAATTTTTGATTTTTCGTAAATAAATTGACAAAACAAAAATAAAATCTTTTTGTGGTTTTTGATTTTTCGAAAATAAAACTATTATACTTACGAAAATTTGAAAACTAACGAAAAAATTGTTAAACTAACGAAAATTTGACAAACTAGTAAAAATTTGTTAAACTAACGAAAAGTTGTCAAACTAACGAAAATTTGTTCTCCAGGAACCAACATCCTCAATGTAACGAAGACGAAGCATGTCGAAGCACTGAATGTGAACAGTAACAACTGAATGGTTAATACTATCAGCCTCTAAATGAAACATGATTGCCTCTGAATCGACACATTTGTATAACACATCTTTGTCATACATTCGATACCATTCCTGGAACTGAACTCGCTTCGAGCATTCCCAAACCTGTCAAAATTCGAACAAATGATTTTTCATCCAAAGCTTTTGTAAAAATATCAGCAAGCTGATCAGTTGTTTTTACAAAATGAACTTCAATGTTGCCATCTTTGACATGATCTTTGATAAAATGATAACGAAGAGCTATATGTTTTGTTTTCGAATGTTGTACTGGATTATGACAAATGCGTATAGCACTTTGTGAATCACAATACAATGGAATCTTTTTCATATTGATAGCATAATCTCGCAACTGACTCTGGATCCAAATTATTTGAGATGTACAAGCAGCAGCTGCAACATACTCATCTTCAGCAGTAGAAATCGAAACACACGTTTGTTTCTTTGACTGCCAACTAACCAATTTTCCATCCAGAATTTGACAACCACCACTTGTGCTTTTGCGATCCAAAGAACATCCTCCTAGATCTGCATCTGAAAATGCCTAAATGAAAAATCCTGATTTCGAAGGATACCACAATCCTAACGAAATTGTTCCCTTGAGATAACGAAAAATATTTTTCACAGCAGTTAAGTGTGGTTCTCGTGGATTTGCTTGATACCTATCACAATTACATACAAAAAACATGATATCAGGTCTACTTGCAGTAAGATAAAGCAATGAACCTATCATACTTATGTATAAGGTAAGATCAACCGCAGGCGTTTCTAACGAAGGTGATAGCCTTGTTCCAACCGCCATTGGTACTCTTAACTTCGTGCTATTTGTCATTCCAAATTTTTCGAGCAAATTCCTTGTATATTTTTCCTGATTGATGAAAATGCCTTCTCTGTTTTGATGAATGTTTAGACCCAGAAAGTTATTGATTTTACCCATCATGCTCATTTCGAATTGGCTTTTCATCAGATTTTCAAATTCACTAGACAAAGTTGGGTTAGTCGAGCCAAAAATAATATCATCGACATAAATTTGAACAAGCATTAGATGATTCCTAACTTTCTTTCGAAATAATGTGGGGTCAACTGATCCTTGTTTAAATTTCGATTGTTTTAAAAAACTGGTAAGAGTTACATACCATGCTCGTGGTGCTTGTTTTAACCCATAGACAGCTTTATCTAATATATACACATGATCAGGACATTCTTTATTCACGAAACCTGGAGGTTGTTCTACATACACAGTCTTCCAGCTCTCCATTCAAAAATGCACACTTCACATCCATTTGATAGACATCAAAGTCTTTGTGAGCTGCATAAGCTAAGAATATACGAACAGCCTCGAGTCTTGCGACAGGGGCAAAAGTTTCCTCATAATCTATCCCTTCTTGCTGTGAATATCCTTTAACAACAAGTCGTGCTTTATTTCGTACAATATTTCCATCCTTGTCGGTTTTGTTTTTGAAAATCCATTTTAACCCGACAATGGAAACATCTTTTGGCTTTGGAATTAATCTCCAAACCTTGTTTCTCTCGAATTCAGCCAGTTGAGATTGCATTGCAACAACCCAATCAGAGTGTTCCATTGCAACCTTAACAGTCTTTGGTTCTATTTTAGAGATAAAAACATTAAACATTCAAAGTTCTCGATGAGTGTTCAGTACCTCATTCTTTGCACGAATTTGAGCCCTCGTCAAAACTCCATCTTTTGGATTTCCTATGACTTGCTCTTTCGGATGATTGCTAGTCCACTTTTCCAATGGTGGATATGCTGGATCAAAGTCCAAATGTTCATCTTCGTATAACTCTTCATTTTTTGAACCTGCAATAGAAAGATTATCATTAATTTCATGAAATTCATTATTCTGATGCTCCCCCTCGACATTTATATTCATTCTCCCTTTCTCCCCCTCGAAAGAATGGTCGACCTCATGCACAGTATTCGAATCCAATTGCTCCCCCTCCACTGGATTATTTTGCATTCTTTCGCCAGATTTTGGAGAATTCGATGTAGAATTACAATCTACAAATGTTTGAGGGTTTTCCCAGTCATCAGTATGCTTCGTAGATTCAGAGTGATGATTATCATTCGCATGAACTTCAACATCAACAGCCCTGTCAGGAATACCAAAAATTAAATCATAATCAAAGTCAGATGAATTTGATTCTTCAGTTTC